TGCTTATTCATTTACGCACTTTCATACACCTTACTACGCTGTATGGATGCATTGTGTGTGTGGTGCATCGTTATAGGCATGTACGCATGGTACAGTATGCCCCAAGACCCTGAACCACAAGCCCACAAACCCTCATCTCCAAAAGCCTACATAAACCCTAAAACAAACCTTAAAACAACCCAAACCCTGAACAACACCCCCCACACGCTGGACCCTAAGCCCCATCCTCAGATCGCAGGCGGGTCTTTCGTGTATCACGCGTCTTAGCGAGCCACCGGGCCGAGCTCAAGCAACAGGCCAGCAACTTCGAGGCGGTTTGGTGTTTTAGGGGTTTAGGGTTTAGGAGTTTAGGGGTTTCGGGGTCTAGGAGTTTAGGGGTTTCGGGGTTTAGGAGTTTAGGGGTTTCGGAGTTTAGGGTTTTAGGTTTAGGAGGTTAGGGTTTAGGGTTCAGGGTGCGTTTCGCGGCTTTTGGGTTTCAGGAAGCTGTTGGGGCGTAAGCATGCCAACGCAAGAACCCTCAATCCAAACCCGTATCCCTATAAACCAATCCCTGGGTCAACGGCGGTCAAGGCAAATGACCGGAAGACCCAACTACAGTAGGAGGACTGTTGTTGACATGGTGAATACTGTGGTCATGAATGTTGATGCCAGTACGGTCGTTGTGTGACATTTTTGCAGACTGGAGCTGGAGCTACCAATTCAGGCTTCCACTCTTCCGAAAGCATGGCTCCGCCCGAGTAATGTTGCAAAGTTCTTTGTCGTCAACATCGTCAGTTCAACCCTGCACACGATTTTTGAGCTTGCTTAAAATAATAATGCGTTTTGAATTTCATCCTATGTCGGGGCCTGTAAGTCTTGGGGTCGATTATACCATGCTTCCAAGAAGGAGCCCTCAGGAACGATATTGGCAGTCAGTCGGGCTTCTATTTGGTAACCCTTCAACCCTCAGCACCCCTGAAGAACCCTGTTCTAACTAATATAATATATTCATAAACCCGAAACCGTCGGTATATAGACATTCGACGATCCAGATTCATTTGCGGCTTCGGGCTCAAACACACACACAGCCGGCCTCTTCGTCCTGCCGCTCTCCGACTTCGCGATGTCGCCTCTTTCCCGGCTATCACTGTTCCTTCACGGGTGTAGGGCCTTTGGTTGCATGAGAGTATGAGTGAAAAGGTTTGCGTTGCAGCGTCGGTTGCAGTCGAGTAAAAGTCAAGGCTTGCGGTTATTGAGTCGTTACGGTTGAAGTTGGATGTTTGGCCAAAGCACTTTACGCCCTGCGCAACAGTTGTTCTCTATCTCTACAGTATCCTTCGTGGTCGACTTTCTTCATATACAGCGTTGAAGATAGCCTAAACCCTAAACTTTGCCCTAAACCCCGTCCTTTACCTATCTGGGTGTCTCGTAAAGCCACAGGAATGCACCGGCTTTGGCTCAGGGATTGAAGTTCCTGTCCACAACATAAACCGCTGATTCTCCTCAAGGTGTCTAAAAGAATACTCTGTGACCGACCCACCCCCAGATCAAGCTCAACAACGAATCTGCCCAAAATTGAAATCCCGAAACTGCATGCTCATATGTCGTACCATCCTCGGTCAGGACTGCCTCTTCTAACTTTCGGACGGGTTGTAGGCTCCTTTTCTCAGTCCCTCCAGAGATAGATTCGTACATGCATATGCAATTACATATTAGTTTGTGAAGATGAACAGATGTATTTACATGTACTTTTGGTACACAAGCCTCCATGCTGTGTTTCATGCTTTGCTGCCTGTATGCACAGTTCCTGCTCAAAGAATTGCAAGTTCTGCTTGTATATGCCACATGACAGCACATGACAGCACAGCCTCTCAGGTCCACGCCCGAGGCGCCCAACTTGGACGACTTGGATCCTGACGCTTGGAGGAACTTGCGAGCAGTCGGAAGGTGGATGGGCCTCCAAGTTTGCCAGCCATCTCGTTTCTAGCAAGGAAACATCTACACGACAGCACTGCAGAAGACTTCTCGTCCTCTTGTCTTGCTCATCTCCAACGCTGTTTTGGATATTTCTGCTCAACGGCCCAGCTACAAACACATCTGGTGGTAGTGGTAGTGGTAGTAGTAGTAGTAGTAGTAGTAGTAGTCGGAGTCGGAGTCGTAGTCGTAGTCGTAGTCGTAATCGTCGTCGTCGTGATTTTCAGTAGTAGCAGTAGCGGTAGTAGCAGCAGCAGGGGCAAGCGTAGCAGTATTCGTCGTAGTTGTAGTTGTAGTAGAAGGAGTAGTAGTCGTCGTCGTCGTAATAGTCGTGGTAGTAGTAGCAGCGGCAGCAGCGGCAGCTGCGGCAGTAGCACTTGCAGTAGTAGCAGCCGAGTTTGTTCTTATTGGCTTCCGTTTGTGCAGCCGGAGTAAGTAGGCCCTGCAGAACAAAGCTACAAAGACTTCTCTTGCTCCAAATGCTAACGCCATTGCAATGGGTAGGAGAAATCGAAGGGGATGTCCAGTAGCACGAGGACAGTTCATTCTTCTTCCGGCCACCAAAGCCCAATGGACTGTTGCCAGTGTGAAGGCTGGCAGCTGCCCAGACAAAATCTAGGCAGGATCTCGACCATGCTCGATATTCAGAGAAGGAGTTGATACATCGTGTACTATGTGACGGGCTTGTCTACATCTCGCTTGCTGACTAGCAACGTGGCCCTGGCCCAAGGCATTGCCCCATGTGATCATTGCAATGAGAGAGGAACTAAATGCACTGGCGGCTTGGATGAAGAATGTAACACAGGTAAGGGCGTTTCATGCCACTGACATGAGGTGTGCCCTGCTCACCGACGGCTCTGCAATTGAAGTATGCTTCTCCGGGATTGTCTTTTAATGTTTCCTCGGCATGCTAGAAGTATACTCTGGTGATGGGTTTCATGTGGGAGAACCCTTATACCCTGAACCCTAAACCCTTCCGAGCACTACACCGCATGAGCCGACAAAATCAGCGCTCGTTTTCTGGGTTATGGACTGCCAGAGTTGTAAGCATGTGAATGTGTCCAAAGGCAGTGAAAATCTCTTTCAGCTCTATTCCAGCGAGCCCAGTGCCCCTTAGTTGAGGAACATACCTTAACTCATACCAGAACAAATTAACTTTCAGCCCCCGGTAAGGGCGAGTGGGTTCTGGCTGCACTTGCATCTTGCGGAGAGCGGTGATTTGCCTCATGTTCCAACTCGGCTTGGGGTTGATAGGAAGCGACGTCAAAGCTGTAGTAGTCCAGGCAACTCCGCTGGCAAATGACTTTTGAAAGCGGCATTGACGATCTGCACGAGTATGCTCGTGAACGACAAGACTAACGCAGGTCTAGTGAATGCAGCAAAAGTCGTCATTGATGTTCTCGAACCGAGATTCCGGCACATCACTGCTACATGGCAATATCGCCGGCCGTACTGTGCCGGGGATAGATTAACTAAACCCTAAACCCTTTCGATGCCTCAGCCTGAGGCTTTGTCGCTACATGCTCAGCGCATGGGCGTCACAGTTCTGGCTGAAGTGACCACCGTGGAAGCTCTCAAAGAGTCTTTTGGGCATGCAAGTATTGAGCTTCAGGGTGCGCTCGGCTTTGTGCTGCAGCTAGATGCAATCAATATTCAAAGAGAGAAGCAGCGAGAGGGCCGAGGTCGAGACAGAATCCGACCACCTAGAGAGTAGTATTTGCATGTGTTTCCTTTGGTTGCTTGAAGCCGACAGTCTCGCTTGCTTTCTCGGTTCGACTCGGACACGGGCGTGCACGACCATGGTCCGGATAATTATGGTCACGTGTCACGTCCATGGCAACAAATGCCAGAACGTTCCCAGTCATTAGCATGACTGTCGAAATCAGGGGTGCGCAGTCTTGGTTCTTTTTTTTACCACAGCTGCAGTAGAAACACTACTATAGCAACAGTGGTAGTCATTGAATGGCGGCTGCGCACCTACTACCACCAGCTCTAATATTGTTGCCGTGCTTGTTGCGTCAGCTTTACTTCTTGCCCTGATTAGTTGCTGTCTCAGCTACTCCTTCATAGGGTCGCTCATAGCTCAGAATACGCCATAGGCCCTGCCCTATGACATAGGCCATATGAGCCGTAAACTGTTACATAAGCCTGCAGCTTTGAACCCCTATGAACCCTTAAGTTTCTCGACTCCATAGACCCTTTCTGCACCGAAACCACTTCAAACCTGAAGCCCTAACACGCGTAATCAAGCCCTGAGAGCCCCAAATCGTAGCTTCTACTCCTCTCCTAGTAACCCTAAACCCTTAACCCTAAAACAACATCCCATTCAAAAAGGCCCAACAAAGGCCCCTCTAAATCCAAACCCCCCGCCACTGTATCAAACGCTTCAAGTCCTGTATACCATAGCCCTTTGAACCTAAATCTCCGCTAAACGAAAACAGTATCGAGGCATACAGCCTACAGCGGATTAAGTGCTTCAAGGGTCGTACGATTTTTACATGTATTAATATTATTCTTCTTATGATGATGCTGATGATGGTAACGATGATGATGATGATGATGATGATTGAGGAGGAGGAGCAAGAGGAGGAGGACGAGACCTATGAGTACTTTATTACTACTAGTAGTTTATCAATATTACTCAGTATTATTGTTGTTATTGACGTTCGTCTACTTTTTCTTATAATTGTTATTTTATGATTTGTTGTATTGCATCGTATTGTATTGTGTGGTATGGCATGGTACTGTATTGCATTGCATTGTTGTTGATCCTAGCATTGTTTTGCTTACTGTTATAATTGCTATACATGATTATGACTATTGCTGTTGTTACCTGTATTACGGGTATTGTTCTTCTTATTATTCCATACTGAGCCAGCCCAGGCTGTTGCTGACAGCACAGAAGTGCAGCTTGAACAAGCCTCTACTGGTGTTTCTGGAGGTCGGCATAAGGCTCAGTCATATAAGGGTTTAGGTTTTAGGTTTTTGGGTCTAGGGTTTGGGGTTCCTATACGATTTAGGTTCATCTTTCCCTTGCTCTCCCACAGGATTCGGACTTCGAGACTGCAATCCACAGCACGCGGGTCTTTTGCCGCCCTCCGTACATGGTAAAGGTCGCTGTCAGAGGCCCTGGGTTTAGGGTTGAGGGGCGACTGGTGGAGGCTCACATCAGGAATTGGTGTCGCAGGATTCTCTGCAGCACCAGAGTCTCGGAGAAGTGCTGCCGAAGCCTTTGTGCAAGCCCTGCAGGAACGAAGTGCCACCGTTGTGACTGCTGGAACCCGGCGCAAGGGTTCGAAGGCTTCTTGGCTCCCGGCATGTCGATGTTGAGTTGAAGAGGTGTGGAAACCAGGACCATTCAGCATTGTGTGCACACTTCATTACGTACACGCTGCTATGCTTTGCTTCCTTCCAGGATTAGAGCGTGTGTCGAAACAAGGGCTTGAGCCCGAAATCCCAACTGCCCTACCCAAAGAGCCCAATACGCCTTAATTAAGGAATAGGGGCCTTAATACTATGATTTTATGGTATATTCCTTCATTACGGGATATTGGGCTCTCTGGATACCGCGCCACAGAACATTTGGGGACCACCCGGGCTCTGGAAGCCGAAAGCTCGCCTCGACCATGTTGTGCCAAGGCTTCCAGCGTGTCCTTCAGAGGTGCGCAACATGGTGGGATGAGGTCCCTTGGACGTTCAGGGATTAGGGTTTGGGGTCTTCTATCTGATCATGAGCTGCCGTGTTTTTTGATTCCAGTTGCAAACGTTCGAAGAGGGCATATGGTTCAAGTCAGTGCAAGTATCAGGTGATGCCTATGGTTGTGTTTAATGCGGCGAGTATTGTTATTGTGTTCGATGATTCGACATGAGCAGAATGCGTAGAACCTCGCACGGTCAGTTCATGTCGCAGACAATGCTGCTCCGAGCTCCCGCTGGTGCTATGCTGGCAGAATATGGGAAACGTGATATTGCTTTAAAACAGACAAGAAGCGCCGTCAGCACGAGCCATTATTGATACACACGGTGACAATCGATGACAAGCATGTGCAACCACTGGTTCGAAGCTTACGGATCATGCTGTGCCGGTTGAGCTGATCTGATCGTAAGTATACAGAGCAGTATTCGGTGTTGGTAGTCTTATTTCGTGTTGGCTCATCATCAGTGCTTAGCCGTGCAAAATGGGCTTTAGCATCTGGCCTCCATTCTCACCGAGATTATCACTGCTTCTTCTGTTCCTAGCCATACAAAGCATCAGATGTTGTGTAATATGTAGGATATGATAACGGGATATTGATGACATTCAAGATAGAAAACATAATATATACGGTATACAACATACAGTTTAGAATAGGTTGTGTGCAAAGTGTATAGATCAGAATATAATGCAGTATAGTATAGTAGAATGTAAATGGCACAGTCTAACACAGTATATCGCACTGCATCAAAATAAGTAACAGCTAGAGACTAATAACCGATATGCGTATCTATATCTATATCTATCTATATATATATATATACGTATTCATATAATAAAACTGTTGTTTCAATGTACCTGCACATAGTGTTATATGGTATAGTCTAACATGACAAACCAACAAAAAACCAGTCTACACAATATGATATCTAATCAAACAGAGGTACAATAGAATCAAAAGAAGAATGTAATTCAACAAGTACCGCATGGTATTGTAGAATGTATTATAATCTAGTAGAACTTGTGATTAAGAACTTAAAATATGCCGTTGTGTAATGTAATACAATATACGATAATGCAGTACATTTTCAATGTGAGCCCTCAGAGCTCAGCCCAGGTTTGTGCAGCGGGCACATGGTGCCTCCCATCATCCCGTACCTTTCGACAATTTGAAAGCCGCAGCTCGGGTTTAGGGTTTAGGGTTCCCGTACCTTTTGAAAGCCGCAGCTACAAATAGCCGATGAACCGAGGCTATGGGGTTTTCGAGTATCGAAGGTTGTGAAGATGGTTAGGGTTTAGGGTCAAAAGCACTGCTCATGTGCGACTGATGTGCGTTGTGGTATTTCCACATCGCTTCGACATGAGTGAAGAAGAGGAACGCCAGCTCTTTCACATGTTGGCGTCGTCAGGGACCGCCTAATTTTAGCAAATCCCCACAGCTTAAATTCGACAGCTGTTTGGGGTTCGTGCGAGGCATGCGGAATCAGTTTCGCAGCTTGTCGCGCCGGTTTCAAAGAATTCGGGCGGTTTGGGGTGGTTGCGCGGTTTGGCAGTGAGTGCAACTCTCGATGAAGTCAGTCGACGTCTAAGGCTGGCCTGTCCAGCAGTGTAGGGCACGTGCCTCCTTGCGGCCAAACCTGCATCCAGATAAGTTTCTGCTTCCTCCGGCTATCGACAGAGATGCTGTCGGAGGTCAAGAAGTTTGTCAAAAGCGTGTAGCTGCCTGAGAGTCTGATTTCGCAAGGCTCTGCGACCAGCACGCTGATCAAGCAAGTTCTGCAGTCATGGTTTCATTCTCCCTCAGCCCAAAACAATTTAGCCCAGCAGCCTAGTCTCAATGCCTGGGCGGCACAAACCTGATCCCGAGTTGGAGTAGAAGTGAACCTTACAGGCTGAACGCCCATGGCAGACGAACGACTCTCGACGGATGTTACTACTACTACTACTACTGCTGCTGCTACTACTACTACTACGACGACGACTACTACTCCTACTCCTATTCCTACTCCTACTCCTACTCCTACTCCCACTACCACTACCACTACCACTACCACTACCACTACCACTACCACTACTACTAGTACTAGTACTACTAGTACTACTACTACTACTACTACCACCACCACAACTACTTTGCTCGCATGACCCCTTCGGGCTGTGATTTTGTCGTATCTTATTGATTTTCTTACCTATCTAGTGGAAACCACTTTGCAATGACCTCAGATAGGCCAAGCTATCCAAGCCAAGCCAACCACGCCGAGCCAATACATTTAAAATGAGAGTTCCCTTCACCGTTGTGCAATAGTAAAACAATCTAATTGGAAACTGTGTAATAGGAGAACCGCTGACGAACAGGAAATACCCATCTAGTAGAAAAATGCTGTCTAATTACATAGGAAACCACTGTCTGATAGGACATCTCGTAGGAAATTCGGTCGTGAGCCTCACTAGAAGTAGCAATACCAGTACTACCAGCTGGAATCGTATTGATGGTAGTCGCAGCAGCAGCAGAAGAAGTAACAAGGGTCATAACAGTAGCAGCAGCACAAGCAAGAGTAGGTGCTGGTACTAGTGCTAGTAGTAGTAGCAGCAGCATTGGCAGTAGTAGCAGCAGCAGTTGCCAGCCGTTACGGAACGAAGGACGGCAAGGGAGGCAAGTATCTGAACACGGAAGCCCGAAAAGGTCATGGGAGCAAGCTGGCGCCTACCACCACGACTACTCCAGAACTGTAGTTGCAACAGAAGGGTAGTTTTCTACAGAGTGGTCCCTTTTTAGGTCCCCCCAAAAGTGCGGCACTTTGTGAAAAGGACCCTAAAAGGGACCCTCATGTAGAGAACCACCCAGAATGCTGACAACAGCTGCAAGCTTCAACCACGTACGCCCACCCGCAGCTTCGACGTGAGTAGCTAGAGGAAGCCTGGATGCTGACGTACTGATGGACGATCTGCTGGGGCGCAGGTTTTACATTATCGACCCAGACCTGGTTTGGGGTTTAGGGTTTAGGGGTTAGGGTTGAGGGTATTTTAAGGTTTAGGGTTTAGGATTTAGGCTTTAGGGTTTTAAGGTTTAGGGTTTTAAGATTTAGGGGTTAAGATTTAGGCTTTATAAGGCTTTAAATTTATAGGGCCTACGGCCAGCAGGGATTGAGTCGGATCTCTCAGGAGAAGCCATGTCTGATGGCGTGGCCTTAGACAACGGCTCAATGATCGCAGTACATCCGATGTATTTTTCAAGATCTTCTTGGTAACCCCTTGCGGAACGAAGGCTTCAAGTTGCGAAGGTCGGATTGAAGTTTCGGCGATAATCTTTTGCAATCCACCGCTTCAGTTCGTGCCGGGTACCATGGAGACCTGAGAGTTGGGGCCGTGGGCATGTCGCAGTCGCTCGCCGCAACACGTAGTTAATGCAAGATGAACTCTACTCAAGAATGGGAGATCAATGCCAATTATGGCCATGCCATGCAATGACACAAGTCCCGAGCATCTCTACCGTCAATCGGGTTGCCGCTGCGACATGCTGACTACAGGCCCCGTAGGAGCCTAGATTCCGCGACTTAACGGTAATGTCTCACATGGCCGGGGGAGATAGCCAGGCTTCATTTTGGATGTGAAGAAGATTGCAGTACTGTAGCTGTTCTGAAAGTCTGGGGAAGGCCATATCCACTAGAAGGGAATAGTCGCAATCGACACTGTGCAGTAGGTATTTGTGGTGTTTTCGTCGTTCTATCCTACCACCTCTGGATTAGCAGCTTCTTCCCTGTCGAGCTCGCAACTCCAGCAGCTGTCACAGTTTAGGACCCGGTTTAGGATATAGGCGGCGCGGGGTGCGGAGGAGTAGCATTATCGTCGTTGATGGTAGGGTCTTCGTCTCAGCCATAGAATATGGAGTGAAGTGATGGTTCTTTCTGTTGGAGCACAAAAGACTGATGTAATGTCATTACTATCCTGCTGTGTGGGACAGCTGCCTGACGTCGAGTTTCAAAGCCAGTCGATGCAGAGATGTTGCAGCCGTTAATGACACGGTTCGCTTGCGGAAATGGGTGCTCTTTGACCATGGCGACTGCTTGTTGGCTACAACGTGTCGTTTTCGTTCAGCTTCCTGCGTATCCGAGTGCATCGGAGACCCTGCAAGGGATCCCTGAACCCTAAACCCAAGGCCCTAAACTCTAAGCCCTGGTCCCTTAAACCCTGAACCCGAAACCCTAGACCCTAACCTCTAAACCCTAGACCCTGAGCCCTACAAACTCTCTAGGCCCTAGACTCTCAATTCTAGAGGCCCTAAACCCAAGAAATTCAGCGCCTCTCTTTGCTAGTACCAGCTCTTGGACAAGCTTCTGCGGGCTCTCGAGCAGATGAATGTCAAGGCCTGCCCTTGGATTTAGAGTGAAGCTTTAGTTTAGCCTGGTATAGTTTAGCAACACTATAGTGTAGTCTGGTATAGTATAGCTATGGTATAGTACAGCAATAGTCTAGCGTAGCATAGCATCTCTAGTCTAGGGAGGGCAGATGTCGTCTCGCCGGCCTTTTGCTGAGCTTGTCCCAGGACTTCAGGTCGAGTAAAAAATCCGAGAGATGCGGGTCTTCCAGGAAGTCGGGGGAGCGACTTTGACTTGACACCTGGTTTTGGAGGGCTCGGGTTTTGGGGTTTAGGGTTTAGGGTTAAGGGGGTGGAGATTCTGGCGTTTAGGGTTTAGGGCGTTGGAGGGCTGGACGGTGCGTTCTTCACACTGTGCAGGTGACGCCGGGGCAGATGGCGTCAGGCGCCTGCAATCCTCTGGTCTGGCCTCCTGTGCGTCGTTGACTTGCTATGGCTGCACGATAGACTCAGGCTCCAGTGTTTGGTTTAAAGTCTAGAGTGCAACTGAAGAAGACAAACAGTTCCTCCATGCACAGATCTGGCGGAGAAGACGGATTCCATCCTTGCCTCAAGTGGGGGCCTCTAGACCCTCGCATTCGCAGTGGATGGCATCGACTTGTGACGAAAGGCCC